CAGTTTGGCATATCACTGGTAAAAATATAAAGGGTTTGAAAATTAGTACTGGTCATATAAAGAATCGCATTTTGACAAAGAAGTTTGTATTAATAATGAAGTTCCAACCAACTAATGTACAGACTCTGACAATCCTTTCCCATCCCCGTACCTCTACCTCTGATACCAGTCAAACGTCAAACCCGAATGTCTTATTCCTAGTACACGACAGGTATTGAAAATCCTCAGTATCATTTTTTATTCCCAAATTTAGATTTGCCCAAATACAGCTTTTTTAGCCAGTGCAACAGAGTTTGATCCCCCAGAGATGAACCCATTCGCATATTCAATCCACCCCAGCAGAGTTGGGGGGAAATGTAAAAAACCGTATAGATGAATAATTACATATCAACTTATCAGTATTCAAGAATTTTTTTTTTGTGTTCACGTTCTCTCCGAATTCTGAGAGTTAACAGTCTAGATTTGAGTGCATCGAATCTGCCTTCTGTTAAACACTTCTTTCTTTGTATATAATCCTTCCTCAGAATATGTAGATCACATGAATACAGATGGATCGATCAAATTTTTTTTATCACTTCTATTGTGTAATCCTAACGTTGAGTTTCATTCGATGAGTTGTGCTATATTATACCTTGTATTGCATTACAGTTTCAGTTACTTAAGCTTCCATTCCAATATTCTACTTATGTATGTTATAATGTTCAACTGTTGTGTACTTTGACATTGTATAGAATCAGCCCAAGCCGTACACCTGCCGTCTCTAGTTTGTATTAGTTGTATGTCGGGATGACATACGTTAGCGTCGCCAAGCTCTCAGTAGTAGTACCAGTTCCTAGTAACCAGTTACCAGTAACCAGTGTACCAGTAGATGACTCACTACCAACCGTCTGCGTGAATCACTGACTGATTATTCATATTGCTGCTGACCATAGCAGGATTTTCAAACACCCTCACCCGTTAGGCACTTGTGGGTCAGTCGAAGATAGGGAGCAGAGAGAGGCAGGTCGGCTGTTGGTGCTTTCCCACACTTTCCGTTATATTATACGTACTATCAGCCTACGTGAGTATTCTTACCCCATCCACGTTATCGAAAACCCACTTGACATGTAAGAATGGGTCTATGTGGTCAGTGTGCACAGTAATAAAAAAATCCTGCAGCACACAGTGCGTAATGAAAAAAAAAAACTTTGACCATGCTTTTGGATTAAAACAGCGGCTTTTCACTGTATTTTCGTACAGTATTTGTTGTTGTATTCTAGTTTTCTTGGTCTCATTTTATAGAAATTGAGATGATTTTGACTGGTTTTACAATGAAAAGTACCTTGAAATTGAGCTCAAAGTAGCAGAAATGTTCGATTTTTACCAAAGTTCAAAAGTAAACAAATCATGCCAAGCATCCAATACACATCAACTGGTGAGTCTAATATTCTTTCACAAGTGCGCTGATATTATTTATACCATTTCTACACTAATGCAGCAGTCTGCATAACAGTAAATCTTATTTTTTTGTAAGAATAAAAATTCAAAGTATAAAGCCAAAGAAATATAAGAGGGGCCTGGGGATGTGACTAACGAACAGAGAACTTGTTATTTTAATGCCAGGAATGTCTTTCTTGTTTATTCTGGACCCTATTCGGAAATTGGCATCTTTCAAATTTGTGTGAAATTGGCAAAATTGCTAAATTCTGACCACTGTATTGGATAGTTGAAATCAGTAAATGGGTGGTTTCTTGTACTCATTCGATAGAAAAAATGGAGTTTTAGTGAAATAGTTTTTGATTTTTTGTCGACTAGTACACTGGAATTCGCCGAAAATAGGGCTCAAAGTGGGCAAAATCACCAATGTGTAAACATCGCGCGCATAATTCCGTAAGTTTTCCATCAAATTTCATACTTTTGGTGTCATTAGATTGGGAAAAGATTCTCTATCTTTTCATAAAAAAAAATATTTTTTTTTTTTTTTAAATTTGGCCGACCCTGAGAACAAGTCTCTGAGAGGACCTGTCGACCCCCAAAGGTTAATAACATAGAAACATGATGTATACTCTAGAATGAATAAAATATGTCATAATGTATTACCTGGAGTTTACCTGGAGAGAGTTCCGGGGTCAACGCCCCCGCGGCCCGGTCTGAGACCAGCCTCCTGGTGGGTCAGAGCCTGATCAACCAGGCTGTTGCTGCTGGCTGCACGCAAACCAACATACGAGCCCACAGCCCGGCTGTATGTGAGGAGTAAGTGGTGGTGGTGGTGGGTTTATAAGGGCCACTGAAGAAGTCGTACATATTAGTGGTGGTGGAGGCGGCAGCAGAACCCACCCCCACTATTCACACTCAAACAATGTATGTAATATATAAATAAGAAATATTTATATTTTAATTTATAAATAAGAAAGATTACATTTTAATTTATAAGTAAGTAAGGAAGTTTATTCAGGTATACACAAGTACAGTTACGTACATAGATTATCATGCACAGCAGCATATGTGTAAAGCACCTAGGATAACCCAAAAAAGTCAGTGACTTATTTCCATTGGGGGCCTTTTTATAGCAGGCCGCGTATGTTCAGCGGCCCTATACACATCAACAACAATGGAGAGTTATTTTCGTGTCGTTTTTCTATCGCTTACTCGCTTAACTTACTTGCTACACTGTTATTTCTACATTTTATCGCTGACTGGCACTATATGCCTTTACGATACCTGCTGCTTTAGTATCATACATATCACAGAATCACTGCAGAAGGCACATTCTCCCCTCTCTCTCCCTCCTCCACTTTGGTACTTTGCTACAAGTTTTTTCTTGAATTCTATTGTGTTTCTTTCCTTCTTTACCACAGGGCTGGCACTAGAAGCTTTCTTTGGGCCCATGGTGGCTTATTTAGCAGTTACAAGCACTAAAAACAATGGAATAATAGAAAATATATCACATGTACATGTGGAATTGTCCTCACTGGCTTATAAACACTGGCACACTACCTTTATATGGGCTCAGGCCGTGCGGACATGTTCAGGATGAATGTCCTTAACCGAGTTCTTAAGCATTAGCTGAGCCAATATTTTGACCCAAAAACGTGCCACTATCCGATTTTGGGACATTAGCCAATGCTGCCGTTACCCAGGGCCCACTGTATTTGTCTGTATCGGGTCTGTCAAGCTCTTTTTTATCTGTGTCTCTGCTTATCTGTCTTTCTGTTGCTGCCTGTGTTTTCTTCTTCCTGTCTTTCTACTTGTCTCTCTGTCTCAGAGAGAGAGCCACTAAAGAACCAACAGGTTTTACACACGATGCAAAAGTCGTCACGTTTGATTCCTGAACAAGTGAAAATGTGTATTACTTGCCAGTCATGCTTATTATGCCTTATGTCTACAAACACAGAATAGCACTTTGTTTGGATTTTTTGGGGTTTTCCTAGGTAATTACACTGTTTAACTGTATTTATGTGTACCTGTGAGACAGAGACAGAGATAGACAGAGACAGATACAGATACAGACAGAGAGAGATAGATACAGACAAAACAGAAGGAGATAGAGACAGCCAAAGCAAATTAGCCACCCAATCAGCTGGCCTGCAGAACATGTATTACACGTTTCCAGAATTGTTTCTCTTTACTTAGGGCATATGTTATAGAACATTCTTACAGGATAACATTACCAGTGGTATCAAAACTGAAAGGGTGTTACACACTGGTTATATCGAGGTTTAGATATTTCCTTGGTATCTCCTGCGAGTGGCAGTATATCTGAAGCTTGCTCTTTACTAATTTTGGCTCACAGCTCAAAGCAAAAAATCGACCAAGCAACGGCTCATAACTTGGAAAACTCGTAAGGTGGGGCACTTGTAAGTCAAGGGACTAAATGTACACCGCTACCCCATTTTACTCACATCATGACTGGGATAATCACTCTAAAAAATGGAGATGACACTATTTTCAAGTTTTTTTTGATTGTCATTTCCAGTCAAGGCAGGGTGACCTAAACAAAGAAAGAAATTACCATAATTCATTCAAGAGTTGTCTTGCCACAACTGCATGTACATCACAATTCAACATTCCCAACCATTCTTTAAGTGGAGGCACTGAATGTTCTACCTCAAGAAATCAAAGTCTGGCTAACTGATTTCCCTCAATCCCTTTATGTTACCTTGCTCACATCCTAACAACTCAAGCTGTTAGATTATCAAGTAGCAACCTGATAATCAAGAACTGACTCGTGACCAGCAGTCTGGCAATATTTGTCACATGGGGCTTAGTTGGCTGGTAGTAGTTATGACTGGTCACAAGTTGATTGGTAGTACTATTTGAAATTGGGATCAGCTAGTGACCAGTTAACTTGAAGCATTTGAGACTTTACTAATAACAAGTTAACTAGTAATATCAGAGACTAGAAACTACTGGTTACCAGCTGACCAACAGTACAGCTGACCACCAATCATCAGTTGACCGGAATATATTGCCCATTAGTCTGATTTGTGCATCACTCATTGATTTCATTAAAATGCCAAATGGTTCACAACTATCCAAAGAACAGGTAAATCTTCTTTCAAAGAAAAATAAGAATAAAATAGTTGAGATATCCCATCTTATTTCACTAGTCTGAGTGTAACAACAGGCCGAATGACTGAAGTGGCTTACAGATTCCTGACCTGAAAGTCAGGAATCTATGAAACTACTTGAGAGTTAAGAAGCAGAGACTAGAGCTATGACTCAACCTCTGTAAACGATACTAAGCAAGTGCTAGCTGATGACGTGACATTCACAGACCTCTGGCCATATCTGCCCTTACTGTAATCAAATGGCGGTACAATATTTACATTTTTTACAACAAGCCATTTACCAGCAAAGCAAGGTGACTCAGAGAAGTAAAACACATTCACCACCATTCATTTACAAACACACAATATTGAACATGCAATACATTTAAATAAGTAACTTATATTCGGGAAAGTAACATTATGGTAAAACAAGTTTTTTGCATAAAATTCTGAGATGACAAACTTACTTTTCAAGATTGTGTCCTCGGGATTAAGGGAGCCTTTGTCTTAAGCTCCTCTATCAAATCTTCAGACGTGCGTTTTTTAACAAGCTGAACGAACAACTTGAGTTTTTCTTGAGGTGTACTTGTCTGTAAGTTGAAAGCAAAAAATTTACACTTTAAATTTGGTCATGCTAAAAAGTGTAAAAACTTAATTACAGTTTAGAATGTCAGGAAATGAGGTCAATAACACCAGAAAAATTGAGATTTTAAAGTCATGGCTTCTAAAAAATACAGAGAAAAAATAGACATAAAACTTATGCATAACTACGGGGGAAAAAAGGCACTTTCAGCGTAATTTATTATTCAGCAACGTAATCATGCCACAGCTTAAAAAAATCTGAAAAGTTAATCTGCACTCACTGGCCAAATAGTTCTCACCTTTTCTTTTTTTTTCATTCCTGTGCCAAGTGTATTTGCTCCATAGGCTTTTCAATATACATTTACTAATTTTTCTCCAAAATTTTTTCTTATCCTCAACAAAATTTGCTGACACTGATTCACTCATTCACTCACTGCCTGAACATCTGCACTTCCTCACCACTCTCTTTTCCTCTCCCTATACTCTGCCTTCTACATATACAGGTCTACATTCCTTTATCCAAAACCCTTGAGACCAGTAGTATTTCGAATTTCTGAATTTTTTGAATTTTAGAATGGTGGGGTCTAGGGTAGCACCCCATAATCAAACATTTGGACCTCGTTTTTTTCTCTCATCCAATTTCTTTCATTTTTGGTGTACAAGAAGAACTGTTCACTCTCCTTATTTTCTGTAAGTTTCAATATGATAACCAAAAAAAAAAAAAAAAAAAAAAAAAAAAAAAAAAAAAAAAAAAAAAAAAAAAAAAAAAATTTACTGAAAATTTCATTTGGCAAGATCCCCGGTTTAAATGACACTATATAAAGTTGTTTTGGGACTTGCTACTCATGAAACAATGCTAATGTGAATTTTGGATGGTGGGAAACCCTATACACGTAAATATTTTATATTTAATCTACAAAAAAATATAATTTGTAAGTTTTGCCATGTTGCAAAATATTCGCCCTTTACTCCCACACAAATCCCAAATAATACTTCAATAATAAAGGCTTGGCTTCATGAAATAAGTCAATAACTTACTTCCGAGATAATCGCCTGGAACGCCAACCGGCCTCCTGTCTCAGGAAAAAAAAAAAATTCCAAGAAAATCGCTTTTGTTTCGGTGTTTTCCTTATGAAACTAGTGATCTAGTGCAGTCAGCCTCTCCAAAACTCTGTTTTCTCTTACTCAAGGCCAAAGAACACGTTATAGGAAGGTGGGGAAATGACTTTATATGCGATATTGCTGGTGGACACTCGCCATATTATGGTCTATTCTTATTCATTTTAGAGTATAAAACATGTTTCTATGTTGTTTTATAGTGTTTATTATGTTACATTAGATCAACTGTGATAAATAAATAAGCCGTAGAATTGATATTAGTGTTATATTGAAAGTATTTTCTCCTTCCCCACGAGAGCAGGAATTCTGCTGACGTGATCTAATGTTCCCAGACTGTTCCTGATTGGTTGCAAGTCAACGTATTAGCTCCGCCCACTGTCATATGATGCCAAATTGTCAATTATTATATTAGAAAGAATAATACAAGGACTTAAAAAAAAAAAAAGGAAAAAATTCCTAAAAAATTTATGGGACGTGAGCAATCATGTTGCCCAGCAGCGATGTCACCATAATTACTGTAATTCCTTGTAGGAATGTCATAGAACATTAATTTTTGTCCCATTGTGTTGCCAGTGAGTTAAGCTATTTTTCTATATGATTAACTCAATTTCCATAATTTTTGGGTTTTTTTTTGCTCCACACTCAACGAAAAAAACTTTTCGAAATTTCAGAATTTTGGATAAAGGAATGTGGACCTTGTATCATTTTCTACATTGTAAAAACCTCTCATATGCTAACATTTTGTCTCTTACACCCTTTTTACCTCATCATTCCAACATTTCATTCCATCTGCATCCACCCTCTTATACCTACAAACTTTCCTGTGCACTCTAACAGTGCCTTTTTATATTTAACCTATACCTCTTTAACCTCCTTCACATTATCTATATTCTCTCTAGTCCACTTCTCTCCCAGTAGTTGACTTTATTTTTCCCTGTCTCCTCTGAGTTCGTTCACTTCTCTCTTACCCACTGATGGCACTCCATCTACTCCTTACTCTTACTGCAGCTACCACTAAGTAATGGTTTAACACATGTCACTCCTCTAAAAACATGCACATCCAGAAGTCTACTGATCAAGCTTTTATCTACCAAATGCATAGTCTAACAAACTGCTGTCATTACAGCCTACATCATATCTCACATACTTATTTATCCTCTTTTTCTGAAAATAAATTTAAGTGTGAGGGGCTTGGACTTCCAACAAACATGTGTGGGCATGTTAGAGAGGAGCGAGTGGAGGCAAATAGTTTTTATGATTTGACGTGTTGTTGGAGTGTGAGACAAGTAACATTTATAAAGAGATTCATGGAAATCAGTTAGCCAGACTTGAGTCCTGGAGGTAGGAAGTACAGTGCCTGCACTCTGAAGGTGTGAAGATATGTTGCAGTTTTTGAACTGTAGTATCCCCATGCCCCTGGCAAGACAGTGATGGAGTGGGTGGTGATGAAAGTGTTTCTTCTTATTTGGGTCACCCTTCCTTGGTGGAAAATGGCCAATATGTTGATACTTAAGTATGGCTATGGCATTTATTTTCTGCTTCAACGACCATCTCCCACCAAGGTCAAGGTAAATAATCAAAGTAAAAATTAATTCTTTCTTAACCTTTCTTTCTCACCTTTTTCATACCTGACCAATTCACCTCAAATATATAAGTTCAAGTTTTTAGGAATTTTATTAGATATATCAGTACCAGTAATTCATACAAAGACAAATGTGCATTTTACTTACATTTATATTGTTTAGGTTATCATGAGACAAGTTACACATATCAGTTATGTCCAATGGTTCTGCTGGCCCCCTGGGCAGTGTGTATAACCCCTGAGAAGGAAGTTTACCTTTAATTAAATTATATTCATATCAATCATCACAGGTGTTGTCATTTTCTTCTACTGTACTTTGTAAAACATATTCAACATGATTTTTAGGTTTTCCAGATCTAATCTTATATCAGCCAGGTTTGGTACAAATGTAAACTCTTGTGTACAATAAACAATCAATAGCAGATCAAACAATGTGATTTAAATAGGCTACTGTATTTACCAATACACACTAGAACACTGCAAAGTTTTCCTCACAAATGTAAATTACAGTGACATTAACACACAAAAATACTGTAACTAAAACTTCTTGATGATTTATACTGTTTAAATTATAGCCCATGTACTGGTTTCTTAAATCTTTTTCAAAATACTTTTTATTCCAAAATAAACACTGCAGACATTCCAGGAACTAAAACAATAGTTCCTCTGTCCAATAATCACATCTCCATTCCTATACTATATTACACTTGCCTTCTATTATGAATTTATCACACAAAAAGTTGAAATTTACCCAATTTCTCAAATAATGAAAAATAATCAGGGAAGATTTGTTATGGATTACAGCATCCCAATAAGTGAATGAGACCTAGTATAAAATATAAATAGACTAGGGGTTGCAGGGAAGGTCTTACCCATCCTCAGGAATATCGGTAAAAATAAAATATTCCTGGTATTTTGAGGTTAATTTCAAGCTACTCCTGGTCTGGTAAAAAACTAAAATCATCTCTATTTCAGTACTATGTCTCATTCTAACAAATGATACTAGGAAAGAGCCAATAAAACCATCCTATGAAACACCTCAAAGTAACTATGTATTTGAAACCAAACATATATGCGAGTTTTGCTTTTCCCAACATTCACCACGTGAAACAGTTTTTCTTTTATAATGTGCACACTCACTGCGTAGACACATTCTCTCATATCTAGGCCAAAATTTACCACTCACAGCTTATCTGAGTAAGATGAGCTCATGATGTAGATCTACATGACGGACAGTCAAGGCTCACAATTTGTGTCATATTTTCAATGAGCACGCTGTAATCTTCATTTATCATGGCACAAACTTGGGGAAATACACAGTATACTATGGGCTCTTCTCTCTGCCTCACTGCCAGCTAATGAGCACTGCCATTATTTTTTTAAGGAAAAGCCTAGTCTCACTCTTAATGTAAACAAACTCCCAAGCTGCCAGCTCACCATTCTTACATGTTCCATGCCATACCATTATGAGACCTAAAAAAACTTGGTGTGTTTGGGGATCACAGGAAAGTAAACTATACTTTTTTCATTTCAATATACAAGATTTTTATTTACATGCCATTTTTATAAACATTATTAAGTATGATGTTAGAGGGTTACCTATACTATAGAGTATTATAATACTACAAATTAAGCAACTCAGGCTTGATTTTTTTGACTACTTACTGGCAACCTGCACATGTTTTTGTTGACTGCGACATGCAGGTTGGTAGGGTAGTAGTCCAACTGCTCACTGGTGCTATCAGGTTTGCAAAACCTCAAGTAGATCTGCAATGGAGAAATCTTTTACACTCCTGTATGCATAATTTTTTTCTCTCTCTCTTTGTATGTCTGTACCTTTCAGAATTACAGTGGAGCCCTGGTTTTCAAACTTAATCTGTTCCAGAAAGTTGGTCTAAAACTAAAATGTGCAAAAACTGAATTAATATTTCCCATAAGAAACAATGTACATACAATTAATCTGTTCCAGACACCCAAAAATATTCACAAAAAATTCATTTTTTAAAGAATATGACACTAATAACAACTCTAGGGCTTATTTATCTATCACAATTGATTTAACATGACATTATAAACAATTTAAATAACACAGAAACCTGATATACACTCTAGAATGAATAAAATATGTCATTATGTATGTGGAGTGGTGTTGTTGTTGGGTTTATAAGGGCCACTGAAAGCATCAGCTGTATCAGTAGTGGTGGTGGTGGTGGTGGCAGCATTGTCAGTGACCCTATATATGTACCTCAAACAATAATGGAGGAGTTAAGTTTCATGTCGTCATTTTTCTATCGCTTAAACGCTTACCTTACTTGCTACATTTTATTGCTATCTGGAGCTATAGCCTTTATCAACTCCTCCTGCTTTAGTATCGTACATATCGTAGAATCACTGAGGAAGGCACATTCTCCCCTCTCTCTCAGCCCTTCCCAAAAGGGCTGGCACTAGAAATTTCTTTGGGCCCCTGG